ATGAAAACATCATAATTGGGTGCCCACCTAAATCAAGAAAAAATGGTAAAAGGACTGCAAAAATTGGTTGTCCAATTCATTAATAGATGCCACTAGATAATATTGTAGGGTATGGAAGAAAGTCCATTTATTATTAAATATATATATATATATATAAGGAAGGTTTGAAATTATTTTTAAGGTACTTATAATTATTTATTTATGGCCATGGTAGTCAAACTAAATATTCAATTTTTTTATATTTAAATGGACAAAATTATAATTAGGCATATATTGAGGCTATTGTAGGTGAAATATTCATGGTCGTCGTGTGTATCGTGAATGGAATAGTATGAAAACGTGAGATAATTGCTTAAGGGTCATTGGATATGATTTCAATCCAATTATATTCCATTGTTTACTCAATTTTTGTAAATTATTTATTAAAAAAATATTATTTATTTAATGAAATATTTATTAGCCTTTGTGATACAAAACAATTAATTAAATAAAATAACAGTTGGGTTGAATGGACATGTAGCAATAAGCAATAGAGAAGATGGGCCTCAGTTATCCAAGAAAGCCCGTTTAAAAGGGCTCCTCCTTTTCCCTAACTGGAAACCCTGGAATACTCGAATCTCCTTGAAGCTTTGGACCTTGTTCAAGTAATTTGGCCTTTGGTATTATAGCGAATCCAATATCAGAAAACTGAAAAGTTGGGAAATTCTCAAGCTATTGGGCCTATCTTCTAATCCTCACAACCCAATCCAATACAATAAAAATTTCAATTCAGATCACAAGAAAATTCTATAATTTCATTACCGAATCATTCCGTCGAAATTTGTAATCGTTAGATCATCAGATAACCATTATTTATAATTGATCTAATTATTTTGGTTCCAAATCACAGTATTCCTATTCCAATACAAACAATACTTTCACTACAAAAATAGGAGAAAGCCCCTCCTATAAAAACCCAACCCACCTCAATCCTATTTGTCTCGCTCTCTGCCCTCCCAATTTTTCGCACTCTTGAGATTATTGAGCTCCCGTACTTTTTTCTCCGGCTAGGGTTTCTCCATTTTTTCTTAATAAATTCAATGGCGTCCACTAAAACTAAGATGATAGTGCTGAAGGCTTCCGACGGGGAGACGTTCGAGGTTGAGGAGGAGGTCGCGCTTGAGTCGCGGACGATCAAGCACATGATCGAGGACGACTGCGCCGGCAGCGTCATCCCGCTCCCCAACGTCTCGTCGGGGGTGCTGGCGAAGGTGATCGAGTACTGCAGGCGCCACGTGGCCGGGGACGCCGACGGCACGCTCAAGGATTACAAAGCCGAGTTCGTGAAGGCCGACTATGAGCAGCTGTTTCAACTGATCCTGGTAATTTTCAGCGTTTCGTTTTGTTGTTTTGGGCTTGTATTTTGTTGTTTTACGGTTTTTGATTCTGTTGGTGATAGATGCCGTGTTCTCTTCTGTTCATGCTACTGTGCTAGTTATGTGCTTTGTTTTGGTCGTTCATAGCTTTGGGTTTTGTAACTCCGTCTTGGGTTCCTTTCTGTGTTTATGGCCTTTTTTTTAATGTTGTTTTTGGTCACGGCCTGTCGTGTTATACTGTTATGACATGAGATTTGGGTTTTAATTGGCCTAGCTTGTTTGTGCTTGCTATGAACCAATCCTTTGATTAGTCTTGTGCAGTGCTATGATAAGAGTGTTCTGTTTCCTTTGTCATGCTTGCTTGCTTTACAGTTTGTTTCTTTACTTGTGTTTCTCTTGTATCGAATTTATCGATCATCATGCTGAGTTTATTGGCGACTTTTTTTGGATTGTAGTATTAATTCTATATTCCATTCAAGGACTGTAAAAGTAATAATAGCATGGTCTGAAGTGTTTGTCCAATAGCATGAGTGATCTTTGATTCAAGGCTATATCCTCAGTGCTTGCTTTAAGAAGCGTTTCATACAAGTAAAACATAGTAAAAAGGTTAAATTTATGTTTGTTTGATAGTATTGTTCTCGTGTTTTCAGGCTGCCAACTACTTGAACATCCCGGGGATGCTCGATATAACGTGCCAAGCTGTGGCCAACATGATCAAGGACAAGAGCCCCGAGGAAGTTCGCTCGATTTTCAACATAACTAACGATTTGACCCCCGAAGAAGAAGAGGAAATTCGCAACGAGTACTCATGGGTCTTCGAGTGACTGAATGTTTATTATATGCTCTTTGTTTATAGCAAAGCTATAGGGTGCCTTTTCGGACAAGTGTTGAAAGTAGGAAATCTGGCTTTAGTTTATGATTGGATACATTTTCCCTTTGTTAAATTCTGATCTCCAAATCCAAACCTTGTTTTGCTGCCATGGCAGTTTATTCTTTTTGGGAAGTTTAGTGATGTTTGGATTGGATGATTATGTTAGTTCTGTATTTCTGTAGTCTACTGTTGATTTTTTTTTTATGTTTTTATCTTGTGGAGTTGTGGTTGTGTTGAGAGTTCTGGATTATATATGCTCATGGGTTTTGAACTTTTGGGGGCTTTAGTTGATGTAAATTTCATGGTCCTAGCATGCTGTTTAGTCTCTCAAATTATGCCAGGAGGTATGATTTGCTTGCAGAGAGGCAGTTTTATATGTTAAGGATGTTTTACTTGAGGGTCTCAGCAGTCAGCATGCTGTTTTATATAATGTTAGGAAGTGACCTGTTTTGGGCCCTCAAATGAGGGCTTATAGAGGGCATGGGCTTAGCCCCTGAATTTTGAGGCCCACAATCGGGTCGTGACCCAGTCTACATTGGGCTCCATTTCTTATATGCTGTGCTCTCACCTGATTAAGAACATGGGTTCTATTATTTTCACAACAAATCTTAAAAATTTGTCAATTTATACCATGCACATGTACTACACGGGTGATTGATAAAATAATTAAATGTACAATAAAAAATAAAAAAATATATATTTTGTTGAAGTTCGAAAAAATTAATAAATAACAATATATAACAATTTATAATAAATAACTAAGTGAATTAACAATATTATTTTAAATTCTGAAAACTAATCTATATATTTATTTATAACATTTACATTTAAAACACACAAGAGAATAATATAAACAAAACACAAAATTTGAAAAATAAGATTATACACACCTTACAAAACCATTTCCAAGCATGCGTCAATTTCAAGTGGTCCAGCCAGGAAAGTTCGAAAAAAACCTGAGCGAGCGAATTCATTTGAACAAATAACATATCGCCACGTCACATACTCGCGGGTAAGTCATAGTCCTCCAAAAAGCTCCTCTTCCCTGGTTTCTCGCATTGCTTCTATTGGAAATCAGCTCGTTTTTAGAACAGAATGTATCATCTTCTCGACTGAAAGCGCCCGGAGAAAGGCTTCAGAGAATTGACGAAGTCGAGGAGAACAATGGCCAGTGGTATCGAGGTTAATTATGTGTTTCGGTAATTTAGGTAAATGCTAATTAAGAAAGTTAAGTGCTGAAGATGTCAGCAAATATTCCGATTCATGTACAAGTACGTACCCTTCCATCGGAGTCCTTGGTCTTTTGCAAACTATCGGAATCCTGCTTGTAATTCTGTTGGAATGGTAGACCCTTATATTCTTGGAATTGATCATCTTTATGCAAATTAAACCTGTGTATAGCACATTTGGATACAAATACTGGCAAGGTTTAGAATATTATAATTTCTTTGCTTTTTCTTTTGGCCTCGTACGTAGACATTATTTCTTGTACAGCACTTCAAACTATACACATTAACTATGCCTATTTTTTACTAGTCTCTTGTTACCTGAACTTTTTTCAGCATCACAAAGAGCGCTTACAAAACTGGTCCATATACTCGGCTTCGTTAATGGGTTTTGGTTGTTACTTTGCTTATCAGGTATGTATATGACCCAAGAATTTACAGGGTTCTGGATGTAATGATAGTGTTGTATTATCCATATGTCGAATGATACTTGTTAAAACTTTCCACTAGTTTGCATGCTTGTAACATGTACGTAATTGGGGCTCGCTAGCTCATGTGAATAGATGCAAAAAAAAAAAAAAAATGCCTACATTTTAATCAACTCTCACATTCATTAAATTTCAATCACACTGTGGTAAATAGCTATTCTCGTTTCTTTGACTTCAGCGATGTGCCACTTAACAAATCTATCTACACAGTGAGTTATATGATGGTTACCACATCATGTGCTGCGATCACCTTTTGCATACTGTACATTCTGGTAAGCATGTCATATCATCGCAAGTTATAACGAGCAGGAATCATTTTTTGAACATTTAGCTCAACCGAAACTAAAATTCAAAGGATCCTTTTTTAAGCATTTGTACTCATGAATGTACGAATAGTCGAATATATTGAACTTAACTATCCCTTTTGCCTATTACTCGACTTTTGGTATAGGTGAATTGGATCGTAACGTAGGTGGTGCATAATTTTTGAGTATGATAGCTGTATTTTGATCTGTCGTTAACTGGTTCTGTGACACTAACCCTGGTTATCTGAATCCTAAACCAAACTGAACTATAAGCTTATGACATTTTTCTTATATTTTGATTTAGCTCCTGCTCATTTGTTATTCATTTTTATCATATTTTCATGTACAAGGTCTTTTCATCTTTATGACTTTATCGGTAGATTCGATCCTACCCCATGGGGTAGTGCCCCCATGGGATTTTAGCCACACAATCACATACAATCACACACACACCCACATGGGTGTGTGTGAAACATGTGGCTAAAAACCCCATGCGGACACTACCCCATGGGGTAGCATCGAATTTTCCGACTTTATCCCACCATACTTTAGACTAACAGTTCCTCCTCACATGACCTATTTGGCTCTATGCTATGCCTGTTGTTGTGAAAAGTGATTTCAATGGCAGGTAACAAATATGGAAAGATGAAGTGGAATATTCTCTCCATTATTAGCAGACAAATGAAAATCCAGAAAGCAACAACTCATGCCCTCAATTATTGAGTTCTGATGCCCAAAAATATACCAATACAAGAAATTGAAAAAAAATAAATAAAAAAAAATGAATAGCTCTGGACATAGACTGATTAAATTATTATAGTTGAATAATAACTTAAGAACAAGTAAAATTATGCATATTTATATGATAATTTCCATTATGAATATACATTAAAATCTCGAGAATAAATAATGTACACATAATTTTTTTATAATTGTAGTCTTAATAGTAGAATTGTATCTTCAATGAATAATTAAATGTAAATATTATACCTTATAAGCTTTATAATATTGTAATTCTATATATATATTTTTCATTAGTCAATATATTAATTATGTTAAAAGATGTGCTTTTTGTTGCACTATTTGGCCTCTATATATATTTTCAATTTGATTGAGTGGTGCGTGGAGAAACTAGGTTCAGTCACGGAGTCACGGGTCACACGGCCGGAATGGAATATGCAACGGCTAGAAGTAAACGGATCAGACGACCGTTAGTCTTATTGCATATTAAAAAAAAACAACGTATAATGAATTTTAGGGCTCCACCAACGGAACATTCTAGAGATGCGTCTGAGCACTCCCACCAACTTCTCTCACTTACTTTTGAGCAGTGAATATATTATTTTTCAATCTTTAGTAATTACATTTTGTTTTATTTCAAATTTACATTTGGTTTATTTCATAGTCATTGATATCTCATTCGATAATTGGGGGCTAGATGATAGGGCACATGGAAGTGGCACGGTAAACCGGCCTAATAGGGCTCGGTCTTATAGGGCTCGGCATTTTAATGGCCCAAAGGAGGAGACGCTTCTCGGGGGCGCGGCATTTTTAGCAGCCCGGATGAGAGGACGCTTTTCGGGGGCTCAGCATTTTAATGGCCCAAAGAAGGAGACGCTTCCCGGGAGCGCGACATTTTTAGTAGCCCGGATGAGAGGGCGCTTCTCGGGGGCTCGGCATTTTAATGGCCCAAAGAAGGAGACGCTTCTCGGGGGCGCGGCATTTTTAGAAGCCCGGATAAGAGGATGCTTATCGGGGGCGCGGCATTTTAATGGCCCAAAGGAGGGGACGCTTCTTGGGAGCGATTGGCAAGCCGCATGAGGTGCTCGACTTTTTGACAGTTCTCATTTAAAGGGAGCTCGGTAAATTCCGACTAGTATGTGAATTATCAAACAAGTCTATCTATTTTACATGCCCGATAGCTCATTTGATAATAAGGGGGCTAGATGATATAGCACATAGAGTTAATAGGGTGAATCGGCCTTTTATGGGCTCGACCTTTTAGCTTTTCGGGCATGACCTTTTATGGGCCCGACCTTTTAGCTTTTCTGGCATGACCTTTTACGGGCTCGACCTTTTATGGGCTCGGTCTCTTTTGGTCTTGCATGGAGCTCGGCCCATAGGGCGTAATAGCGGCAACCCAGTTATATATTTTTCGGTGGCTCGAATTTAAATGGGCTTAGCCTAGCACTTTCGCATTGGTGAAGCTGAAAGGGTGGGCATGAAACTGTTTGACGGAATGGTTATTAGGAGTAGTGTATGAGAGACACGTGTAGCGTCAAGATGAGAAGGGACGAAATCATCTAACGGGTAAAGACGAAGGCGTGGCACAAACGCAATGTCAGTACTTATAAATAGGTTAAGTGGAGTGCACAAAAGGTAATCATTGAATCACATTAATTACAAACCCTAATATCTATACCGTGCCCTTTCGATACTATACTAACTTGAGCGTCGGAGGTTTACCGCAGGGAACACTTCCCGACGTCTTTGCAGGTTTTCGGGAGCTCAAGCGGTTGATGGTCAAGGAGGGCCGGTCCGAGGTGCAATAGCACATCAGTCATGCTAATCTCAAGAACACATTTTTGGATCTCGTTTTTATTTTGAAGTATTTTTTTGCCAAAGTAATCCATATTCGATCCAATTGGGACGAAACATTTCAGTCTACCGACAATTGCAATGCGGCCATAGAATTTTTTACCGTTCGATCAATACATACACACACTAAATAAACAGAAAAAGTACACTAAATATTATTATCGATCAAATAATACACTCGTCTATTATTTAAACTGGAACCAACCACCCAAATTTCACAGTGCCAGCTGTTTTCCATTCGATGCATTTAAACAATATAAGCCCAAACTGGCTGAAAGGCCTTGATGCATGCTGGTCCTCAAACTGAAAAAAAAATACAAAACAAACTGGGAAATTTTTAATGCAAGCCAAGGTGATAAATCCAGTTTTAGCACACATTATTAATGATATATGGGGACAGATAATGTAGAGAGGTTGTGAGAAGGTTCTATATATAATTAAATTTAACACTATTTGCAGACACAAAACAGAGAATGTTTATATATAGTACTATACCATATTGTACTGATATTGCTTGTCATTATAAATAATATTAGCTTACTGTTTAAAGTTAATACATCCATATATATATATATATATATATATATATATATCATGGCAGAAATAAACATATTATTTGCAGTACACATCTCGAGCCACTCAACTTCAGAGTCACTGAACTTAGTTACCAGTTAACCCCAACTTTAAATTGTCTATTACTTATTGTATTATGCTGGAAAAAATTAAATAATAATGCACTGCTTCAATGGACGTTGTTTTGAAAATTGGATGGGTAGAGTAGATGACAACAAATAATTTGACTGTGATCCATTTCTGCAGAGTATTTTATTTGCTTGCTGCTACAGATAAGCTTCACAATTATTTTATTCGAATATGATTTTGACGTGTCAGGTTATATTGGCATGCCAAAAATATGTTATTCATCAAAAGCTGTTGATTTTTTCATATATTGATTTTTTTTGGTAGCCAGCCACGGAGCTATGCCTTAACTAATCCGTTGGTCGACCCGGGTCGCACACCTGGCAGTGGTGGGTGAGTTTCCCAACAAGGATTTTCTGTATCCACAAGGACTCGAACCGAAGACCTTGATTAAGCGACATCAAACTGCTTATTACCATTTGAGCCAACCCTGTTCGTCTATCATATATTGATTTTGGCTTCGAATAGAGGCGAATCATTATCCATATTATTAAAGCTGATTTTCCCAAGAAACTGAACATGCTGCTACCACTGTAAAGCATTGTTATATTGCAGATAAATATCATTTTAACGGGAGTTTTACAGCTTTTTTTCACGCTTTTGCAACACACGGAGAAGGTAAAACTTCACCAATTCCCATATCACGTGAACTCAAAGGTGTAAGGACCCGTTAAAAAACTCTGAAAAGCATCCTAAGAAACACTTAGAATTTAGAAAGGATTATTAGTTAATAAATAAATTAAATAACCCACATTCTTTTGTTCAAGAATTGGTCAGGTCAAATCAAATCAAATAAACAACACGAATAAACACACACCAAGGTCATGGTCAGGTCAAGTCAAATAAACCCACTCAACTTGGTGTAATACGGCTAGATTTATAAACGAGTCGATGTTAAATAAATGAGTCTGAAATTGAGCTTGAACTCGACTCATTTATCATTAATAACAAGTTGAGTTCGCGCTTTAACGAGTAGGGTAAAATTGAACTCGAGTTCGACTCTTTAATCATTGAACTTATACTTACACGATGAGTCTGAAATTGAGCTTGAACTCAGCTCGTTTATCACTAATAACGAGTTGAGTTCGAGCTTTAACGAGTAGGGTAAAATTGAACTCGAGTTCGACTCTTTAATCATTGAACTTATACTTACACATCCATAGACACGTACTGTGATGACAAAAACCCCACGGTAGCATAAAATTCACACTATAAACACCAAATTATTGGTAAATCGTTAAATTTTTTTAAAAATTCAATTAAATGCATAGGTATATTATTTAAATTCCTCAGCCTAATCTATACTCTTATTCTTTCCCCTAAGCTAATGATATTGATATAGCACAAATAATCAATGGATTATTGAGTTGTGATGTGATTTTATTGTCCTTATTTCGGACCTACAAAAGCAAAATACCACTCTA